CACCTTCACAGGAAGAAAATGGGCAGACTTCGTCAGTCTGTCCGCAATGACCCAGATAGAATCACAACTCGCCTGAGTCTTAGGCAATCCCACCACGAAATCCATGAAAATACTTTCCCACTTCCACTGTGGTACTTCGAGAGGTTGAAGCTCACCGAACGGTTTCTAATGCTCGATTTTCACCTTCTGGCAAACCAAACACTTGGACACAAAAACAGCAACATCTTTCTTCATGCCCGGCCACCAGAAGTTCTTCTTCAGGTCTTGATACATTTTAGTAGCACCAGGGTGGATAAAAAATTGGCCCTTATGGGCCTCTGCCATAACCTCTTCGGTCAACGGACCTTGAGGAACCATAATCCTCTGCTGAAACAAAAGAAGTCCATCATCATTCCATGACACACCATCTTGGTTCTTCACGTAATCCAGACACTCTCTCTGAACTTGTGCCTCTTTGAACTTTTCCAACAGCTCATTCACAACATCTGCTGCTTCCATCTCGAGAAGTGCACCCTCACACGGAGAGGTCACTGCCAGGTTTCGGAACTTCTCAACCACATCAAAATTACCAAGTAACAAACTGGATGAGCTCCCGGGTTTCCGGCTCAAAGCATCAGCTACCACATTGGCCTTGCCAGGATGGTACTTCAACTCGAAGTCGTAATCCTTTAGGAACTCCATCCATCTTCTCTGCCTCATGTTCAGCTCCTTCTGGTCGAAAAGATACTTCAAACTCTTATGGTCACTAAACACCACGAACTTCAAACCAAAAAGATAATGCCTCCAAATCTTGAAAGCAAAAACAATAGCAGCCAACTCCAGGTCATGAGTATGGTAGTTCTCCTCATGAGGCTTCAACTGCCTCGAAGCATAGGCAATCACTTTGCCCAACTGCATCAACACACAACCTAGCCCCTTTCTGGAGGCGTCAGTGAAAAGCTCAATCTCAAGCGCAGGATCAGGAAGGACCAACATAGGTGCAGTAGTCAGTCTCTCCTTCAACTCCTGAAAACAAACCTCACACACATGAGTCAACACAAATGGAGTCTCCTTACGGGTAAGGCGAGTCAGTGGTAAAACCATGGTGGAGAATCCCTTAATGAACCTCCGATAGTAACCTGCCAAACCCAAGAAACTCCTCACTTCAGTAACCGTCTTGGGCCTCTCCCAATCTAGCACGACCTCGATCTTGTTCGGATACACTGCAACTCCTTCAGCAGAAATAACATGCCCAAGAAACTTCACAGACTTGAGCCAAAACTCACACTTTGAAGGCTTCACATACAGCTTTTTCTCCTTCAGCACTTGTAGAACAATCCTCAAATGCTCCACATGCTCCTCCTCCGTCTTGGAGTAAATTAAGATATCATCAATGAAGACGATCACAAACTGATGCAGGTACGGCTGGAAAATCCGGTTCATGTAATCCATGAACACCGCAGGTGCATTGGTGAGTCCAAACGGAATCATCAAATACTCAAAGTGACCGTATCTCGAACGAAACGCGGTCTTAGGGACATCCTCTGGCTTCACCCGGATCTGATGGTATCCAGACCGGAGATCAATCTTCGAATACAGGCAAGCACCTCTGAGCTGATCCGATAAATCATCAATCCGAGGAGGAGGATACTTGTTCTTGATCGTCACCTTGTTCAGTTGCCTGTAGTCGGTGCACAATCGCATTGTCCCGTCTTTCTTCTTCACAAAGATGACTGGTGCTCCCCAAGGAGACACACTCGGCCGAATGAAATCTTTTGCTGAAAGATCCTCAATATGCTTCTTCAGCTCCGCCAGCTCCGGTGGCGACATCCGGTATGGAGCTAATGAAATAGGCCCCACAGCAGGCAACAGGTCTATGGAGAACTCTATCTTCCTCTGTTGCAGAAACTCAGGAATCTCCTCAAGAAAAACCTCGAGAAATTCCCTCACCACAGGAATGCCAGTGATATCCTCCTGTGTCCCACTCACCAAACCTCCCAACATGACATATCCAAATGTCCCAGCTCTCAAGGCTCTCCTAGCCTGCAGCAAAGAAATGTACGACGAGGAACTGGCTGTGGAATCACACGGAGACATTACCACACGCTTGGCACAACAGTCAATCTATGCACAGTTCCTGAACAACCAATCTATGCCCAGAATAATCTCCAAGTTGGCCATCGGCAATCCTATCAGATCCACCGAGAAGTCACGGCCATCCCACTGAAACACCATATCGTGATGAACAGTGGTAGAATCACACCTTTCTCCGGTGGCGGTGGTCACCCGCAACAGTGGAGAAAGCACAGACATGGACAACTCAAGCCCCACAGCAATCAGGGTTGCAACAAAAGAATGCGTAGCCCCAGAGTCAAACAAGACATCAACAGATGATGCACCAATAGTAACAGTAACTCTGACAAGGTTCAGAGCTCGGTCCAACTGCTGACGATCCAGGGTATAAACACGCCCAGTAGACGGTGGCACTGCCAGTGTCGAAGTAGGTGGAAGGGGAACCATCTGAAGTGGCACTTCCTGAACTGCAGTAGCTCTCGCCGTCATCGACAGACAGTCTCTGGAGAAGTGGCCCTCCTTGCCACACTGGAAACAAATCAACTGGCCGGTAGAACACGGCCCAAAATGAGTCTTCCCGCATCCCGAACACTTGGGAGCAGGAGGTCTCGCTGCACTCCCCTGAGCAGAAGTCCTCTTAAACTGATTCGGCACTTGCTGAGCCGCCATCTGCTTTCCCTTGCCCTTGTTCCCAAACTTCCTGTCTCTCCAAGAAGTGGAACTACCAGCTACCTTCGTCGCCTCAGCAACCTTGGCCCTCTTGGCCTTACTCGAGTTGTAGAAGTCCTCGATATCCCGACACTGCTGTACCAGTGTCCCAAAGTCTCTCGAAGCAGAACCAGCAAGGTAACCAGCAATATCCTCACTAAGTCCCCTGTGGAACTTAGCAGCCAAGAATGTCGGAGTAGGCATCGCCATCTGGAAGTGTGCAAACTTCACCAGTTGATTGAACTGGGCTAGGTACTCGTCAACAGACAACGAGCCCTGAACCAACCTGTCGAACTCCCCCTGCTTCCTCTCCTGTGCATCATAGAGGAAGTACCGACCCAGGAAACAATCCTCGAAAAATGGCCACGTCATCACATGCCCCTGCATCTCAAAAGCATGAGAGGTGTTCGTCCACCACTCATGGGCATCGCCATCCAGCATATAGGTAGCAAACATCAACTTCTGCGGATTCGTACACTGCATGACCCGGAAGATCTTGTCCAGTGCCTGAAGCCATCTCGCCGCAGCAATAGGGTCATAGGACCCATCAAAGGAAGGTGGCTTATGCTTGCGGAAAGCATTAAGCCGACGATCAATCACATCACGGTCTTCCACAGGCTCCTCAAAGGGTTCCATCACCCCAGTAAAGCGACCAGTGCCCTCGACATGACTCTGGCTCTCATCCTGCAGACTAGGTGGAGGTGGAGGTGGTGGTGGCGGTGGAGGTGGTGGCGGAGGGAACTGATCAACAGCAGGACCAGCCCTCATCTCCTCCAACATGACCCTCATCATGGTCATGGTCGCCAGGCGGTTCGTCTCCAAAACATCTTCCGTGGCATTCCGATTCGCTTACCTAACAGCGTCCACCATTGCCACGTTGGCCAGCCTAGCGGCCTCCTGCGTCTCAGCTAATGCAGTCAAGATCGGGTGGACCCTTAGCAGTCTCGCGGGTTCTCCTGGAGTTTACCATGACTCTGCACAAGTTACACAAATTATGAGTTGATCAGGCCCACACAATGTGATCACATATGCATTATCATAATAAAACCCAACGGAGCAAACACACAAGCCAGACACAACCAAACATCTTAGTTATTGCAATACATACAAGCTTTTTCCTCGAACCATTGCTCTGATGCCATAAAACGTAACACCTCGTGTATACCCGGTTTGTTAACATATCATCGTATTAAGCTGCGCTTAATTAAAAATGCGGAATATCTTTTTCTTTTCAATTATAACGTCATTATACTTAGCCAAGTTGATTACTTAGTGATGTGGTTGTAATATATTTGATTTTCCAAGTTAAAATACTAAGCTTTAAGGTCAAAAGAGCATACTTATCAATACATTTTATGGATTAATTGTTAGTTTTTCATTTTCAATGTTATTTCTCACTCAAGTTTATATTTGGATAGGAATTTAGCATGGAAAATGAGAATTTGCGCAGAAGGAAAATTTGGATCAGATGGGCGGCGCTATCAGCGCGGAATAAATGAATTTTCAGTGAAAATTCTGCGCCATTAGCGCGGAAGAAGTAGGACTGGTGCTGATAGCGCGGATTAATTCAAATTCAGTGCAAAAATGGCGCCATCAGCGCCGTGTTTTTGAGCAGGAAGACACCGTGTTTCTCACTTAATGTTATTTTATTTTCTTCTGTTCTTGTTTTAATTTGTTTTGAACATTGCTACTAATCTTCTCTTGAAGTTTTATGCGAGGCAAGGTTGATCCTACAGAATTGTTATTTGATCCTGAAATTACAAGGTCTGAACGGAGAAACAGGAGACTTGCTCAGAAGAAATCAAAAGTGTCAAGTGCTCAATCTGAAGAAGCACCTGAAATCCCAACCATGGCAGCGAATAATGAAGCTGAAAATCCACTCATGGATACCATCCTCACTCCAGCCTTCAACATGCCTAATTCAAGTATTGTCCAACCGAATATTGCTGACAATAATTGGGAGTTAAAGTCTTCCATAATTCAGTTGGTGGAGAGAACTCAATTTGGAGGAGAAGAGCATGAGGATCCTCACAGGTTTATAGACCGGTTCTTAATGATCTGTGACTCAACCAAGCACCCTCAGGTATCTGATGATGCTATCCGGTTGAGATTATTCCCTTTTGCTATAAAGGGAGAAGCACGTAGCTGGCTGGAGAGGCAGCCTGCACGGAGCATAGCTACATGGGATGATTTGTCTACAAAGTTCTTTGCGGAGTTCTTTTCCATGGAGAGATACAATCAAATAGTGAATGATATCACCAACTTCACTCAAACTGAGGGTGAAACATTGTGTGCAGCATGGAACAGGTTCAAGGACTTGATGAGGAGGTGCCCTCATTATAATTTGACTGCTGGTGATCAAGTCAGAATATTTTTCAATGGCATCACACCTGAAGATAGAATGGTTTTGAATGGTGCAGCTGGCGGTACTATTAAAACCATGAGAGCGAATGAAACTCTGGAGCTGATAGAGAGGATGGCCAGGAATAAAAATCAAGGGGTATCTTCAAAGTCTAAGAAAGGTAGCCTTCATCTAGAAAGTAATGAGTCAGTTCTGGCTGAAAATAAATTGCTAGCTCAACAAATGGCTAGTTTGACTTCCAGGCTTGACAAGATGCAGATCGCTGGAGTTCAAGCTCAGTCTGTTGCCTTTGTCTGTGATTACTGTACGGACAGTCATGCTCCTAATGAATGTCCATCTCTTGCTTCTTCTGATTCACCTCAACAAATGCAGGTGAATGGTATATGGTATGACCAGCGCCCTCAGCAGCCAAATCTTCAGAGAAATCAGAATTTTTCTGGTGGTGTTGGTAACAATTTTCAGCGGAGAGCTCAGGGAGTTGGCATGGATTTCAAATCTAATAATTATACTCAGCCTTCACAGAGTCAACAACGAGAGCCTGCTGAGTGGGAAAAAGCCTTTGCACAAATGGCCAAGACTTCTAATGAGATGGCTTAGACCACTAATACCTTTATGGAGGAGACTAGAGCCAACAACAAAAATACAAATGCTTCCATCAAGAACCTGGAGAATCAGATAGGACAATTGGCAAAACAAGTTTCAGAAAGAATTCCAGGTACTTTTTCCAATTAATACAGTTATCAATCCAAAGGAAGACTGCATGGCTATTATTACTAGAAGTGGCAAAGTGGTAGCGCCTCTTAAAACTCCAATTCTAGATTGTGCGGAAGAGGAAAAGAAGCATGATGGAGCAGTTGAGCAGAGGTTGAGGTAATTGTGAAAGAAAAAAACAAAGAAATTGTTACTGAAAAAGAAAAGGTTGAAGAGTGACCTGTTGTGGTTGAGAAAAAGCATGAGCTGAGTCCTGAATATGTGCGATCTAAAGCACCTTACCCAGAGAGGTTCAAGAAAGAGGCTTATAACAAACAGTATGGCAGGTTTTTAGACATCTTCAAGAAGCTGCACATAAATATCCCTTTTGCAGAAGCTTTGGCAAGTATGCCTGGTTATTCAAAATTCATGAAGGATCTTTTGTCAAGGAAGCATAAGCTACAGGAATGCCAGACAGTGACACTTACTGAGAAGTGTAGAGCCTTTATTCAGCAGAAGATTCCGGCTAAGCTTAGGGATCCGGGGAATTTTAATATCCCTATTGCTATTGGCAATATTGGCATTGGTAGAGCTCTTTGTGATCTTGGGGCTAGTATCAACTTGATGCCTCTTTCTGTTTATAAGTCTTTGGGGATTGAAGAATTGAAGCCTACAGCGGTCTCTTTTCAACTTGCTGATAGATCCGTGAGGACACCTAATGGGATTATAGAAGATGTTCTTGTCAAGGTTGACAAGTTTATCTTTCCTGCTGACTTTGTGGTGTTGGATATGGAGGAAGGAAGTGGGAAGCCTTTGCTCTTAGGTAGGCCCTTTTTGGCTACAGCCCGTGCTCTAATAGATGTTGAGCAAGGAATGATTAAGTTGAGGATGAATAATGAGGAGATTACTTATAATGTTTCTGAGGCTATGAAAAGACCCGCTGAGCATAGTGATTGTTTTCAAATTGATGTTTTTCAAGAAATAGTTCAACAGAAGAAGGTGCGTCCTCAAGAGATTGATTATGAGTTGAGAGCCTGTGATCATGTGCCCTTTGAAAAAAAGGAAGTTGTTGTGGAGGTGCTTAAAGAAAAAGTTGATGACATAGAGGTTGGGGCACCTAAGGTTGAATTGAAAATTCTGCCTAATACTTTGAAATATGTATTCTTGGGAGATGAAGAGACATACCCTGTAATCATCAATAAGGGACTATCTTCTGACCAAGAAAAGAAGCTGGTTGAAGTTCTAAAAACTCATAAGACTGCCATAGGGTGGTCTATTTCTGATTTGAAGGGAATAAGCCCCTCTGTTTGCACGCACAAAATTCTCATGGAAGATGACATCAAACCTGTAAGGCAACCGCAAAGAAGGCTAAACCCGATGATGAAGGAGGTGGTCAGAAAAGAAGTTGTGAAGCTTCTTGATGCAGGTATGATTTACCCTATTTCAGATGCTGCTTGGGTAAGTCTGGTTCAGACAGTTCCGAAGAAGGGTGGTGTGACTGTGTGTGAGTTAATTCCAACTAGAACCATCACAGGTTGAAGAATGTGTGTGGACTACAGAAGGTTGAACACAGCCACAAGTAAAGATCATTTTCCATTGCCCTCTATTGATCAGATGCTGGAAAGACTGGCGGGCCATGATTATTGTTGCTTCTTGGATGGGTATTCAGGCTACAATCAAATTCCTGTAGCTCCTGAAGATCAGGAGAAGACACTTTCACTTGCCCATTTGGAGTCTTTGCCTATAGACGAATGTCGTTCGGCCTCTGTAATGCACCTGCCACTTTCCAAAGGTGTATGCTCTCTATCTTTTCTGATATGGTAGAGAAATATTTAGAGGTATTTATGGATGACTTCTCAGTCTTTGGTTCTTGTTTTGATTCCTGTTTAGATAATTTATCTAAAGTTTTACAAAGATGCCAAGAGACTAACCTTGTTCTGAATTGGGAGAAGTGCCATTTTATGGTTAATGAGGGTATTGTTTTGGGGCACAAAATCTCAAGGAGTGGGATTGAAGTTGATAAAGCTAAATTGATTTTGATTGAGCAACTTCCCCCTCCTGTTAATGTTAATGCTGTTAGGAGTTTCCTAGGACATGCAGGTTTTTACAGGAGGTTCATCAAGGACTTCTCTAAGGTTGCTAAACCATTGAGCCAACTCTTGGTGAAGGACTCAGAGTTTATATTTGATGATGCATGTCTGAAGGCTTTCAATTTGTTAAAAGAGAAGCTTACTACAGCTCCTGTGCTTACAGCCCCTGATTGGAGCCTTCCTTTTGAGCTCATGTGTGACGCCAGTGCTTATGCAATTGGTGCTGTCCTCGGTCAGCGTAAGGAAAAATTATTACATGTCATTTATTATGCTAGCAAAGTCTTGAATGAAGCTCAAGTTAATTATGCCACAACTGAGAAAGAAATGTTAGCAGTAGTTTATGCCTTGGATAAATTTAGGCCTTATTTGTTAGGATCCAAAATCATTGTTTTTACTGACCACTCTGCTATCAAGTTTTTGATGACTAAACAGGATGCTAAACCACGACTGCTGAGGTGGATGTTATTATTTCAAGAGTTTGACATGGAGATCCGAGACAAAATTGGGGTAGAGAACAAAGTGGCGGATCATCTGTCAAGAATCCAAGAGAAAGAGTTGCAAGAGAGTCCTGACAAAGAAATCAACGACTATTTTCCTGATGAGAAAGTGATGGCTATCTTTGTTCCTCCATGGTTTGCAGACATTGCTAATTACAAAGTTGTGCGAGAGTTGCCTCCTAATCTTACTCGGCAACAACAAAAGAAGTTTCTGCGGGATGTGAAGAGGTATTTCTGGGATGATCCGTACTTGTATTTTCAATGTGCTGATGGTATCATTCGCAAATGTGTTCCTGAGTTTGAGATGAGTCAGATCTTGTGGCACTGCCATGCTTCTGACTATGGCGGTCACTTTGGAGGCAATAGGACTGCTCAGAAAGTCTTGCAAAGTGGTTACTACTGGCCAACACTGATTAAGGATGCCAGAAATTTTGTTGAAAAATGTGACAAGTGTCAGAGAGCGGGTAACATATCCCGCAAGGATGAGATGCCTCTGAATAGTATATTAGAGGTCGAGCTGTTTGACGTGTGGGGCATTGATTTTATGGGCCCATTTCCCTCGTCTTATTCCAACTTGTACATATTGGTGGCTGTTGACTATGTATCTAAGTGGGTTGAGGATGTTGCTCTTCCTACCAATGATGCTTCAAGGGTGGTCAATTTCTTAAGGAAGAATATTTTCACAAGGTTTGGAGTGCCTCGGGCTATTATTAGTGATGGAGGTACACATTTCTGTAATAGACATTTTGAGAGTTTGCTCGCCAAATATGGAGTGAAACACAGAGTGACCACACCATACCATCCCCAAACTAGTGGGCAGGTTGAAGTTTCCAACAGAGAGATAAAGAGAATCCTAGAGAAGACAGTGGGAAATTCTCGGAAGGATTGGGCTAAGAAGCTTGATGATGCACTGTGGGCGTACAGAACTGCATTCAAAACTCCCATAGGCATGTCACCTTATCAGTTGGTGTATGGCAAAGCTTGTCATTTGCCTTTGGAGTTAGAGCACAAAGCTTTATTGCTTCAGTTGAATGAGCTTGATGAGTTCAGAAGATCTGCGTATGAAAGCGCAAGGATCTACAAAGAAAAGACCAAACAGTGGCATGATAGCAAAATCAAGCACAAAGAGTTTGAACCTGGTCAACAAGTGTTGCTGTACAATTCTCGCCTGAGGCTATTTCCAGGTAAGTTAAAATCAAGGGTGTATTCCCTACCATTCTTGTTCTTCTATATTTGGAGTATTTGGGGTTTAAGAGTGTCTCATATTCTTCATTGTTTATTGCAAGATGGATTCAAGGAAGGTATGTTTTTCATCCCAATAGTTGTTCTAATGGTTGTTGCACACAAAAGTTGCCCACCACATGTTTGATAAAATGCCCATTCCATATTTTTGCATTGTTAAGCATGCCATATTATTGTGGGTTGATGTTTACAAGTATGATATAATTTCCATGGTGGGTTTGGTGTTTTATGCAAGAAAAAGATCTCATACATGGTGCAATTTTGTGATGCATTATGACTAAATTCCATGCACATATTTGAGAATTACATTCTATAGTCTGGCTTTAAATCTGGGAATGGTAAAATATTGCAATGCTATTGTGATATTTTTCTAATTCTATGCTTTTGTCTGACTTGGCTAGTGCTATATTTTGGATATTGGGATATTTTTGTGTTTTTCAGGGTAAAAAGGTTACCGGTCGGACC